AGGAGAACTTGTGGCTCAGAGGTTAATACAACTGCCTAACATGCAGGCAGCCCAAGTTCGAATCCAAGTAAGGTATAGCTAGCTGATGAGAGCTAAATAGCTTGAAATAGATCTATACTAATCTCCCTTTATTTATCAGCGAAATATAAATTTGCACTTATGATGGTGTGGCATCCTACGGTCACAGGATGGCAATTTGCAACCTTCCCCATCAGCTTCCCTCAAGCAAAATCACGGAAGGTCGCAAGTTGCTTGGGTAAATCTCTCCCCTGCCCCCCAGCCCTTCTGTGCTCGTGCCAGACCACACCAGCCACCTGCACTTCCTGGTAGAGAACTGTCCCTTAGCCCCACACATGAGGCCTGCTGAATGGCAGTCTACAAAATGAGGTTTTACTGTAATGGAGTATGCATATGCACTCAGAGCTAATTTGGGGTGGGGAGTGGGTATAGGATTAAGGGTCCCAGTTTTCCTTCTGCCACAAATCCATGAGGATTAAAACTGTAACTGTAACAATCCTTTATCCAGAAATCAGATTATGTTTGAAACAAAAAATGAACTGGTCCTAGAGTCCTAAAATCTCAAAAACGCAGGGTTAGTAGAGGCCATACTGTAGGCCATCTAGCCCAAACTCTTGCTCAGGTCAGGAATCCAAATTAAAGCATCCTGGACAAATGCCTATCCAGCCTCTGCTTGAAATAGCAAGCCCCGAGATCACTACTCAGAATTAACCACTCGGGAAAAAATATTTCTCCATTGCACAAAACCAAAAGAAAAACAAGTTTTTCTAGTTTGCAACCATCCAATTGCATCCTAGCTTCTACTGCCTCCCAGAGTCAGATGCCTAGACTAACAGGGTCTGATTTCAAGAATTCAAGTATGAAGCTTGAGGCATGTAATCTCAATCAGTATTATATTACAGAGACAATGGGGCTATTCTACTACTTTCCCAAGGAACTAGTAGGATAAACACGAACCTTCAGCTTTCAGGATCTCATCTGCCTCCACGTCCCCGTCCTTTTTTTCATCTGCACCCAGAGACCCAATGCAATCCAATCCACCTTCACCATTAAGAACGCCTGGCCGTGGCATCATTGGTGTCATTGGTGTGGTTTTGCGCGGCCGACGCTTGTGCAGTGGTGACAAAGACAAGTTACGTAGCACCGCCATGCCTGTCTCCGTTAACCAAACACCTTCAAAGCGAAAATACTGGGGCTCTGCATGGACAGGATAAAAGAAAAGCTTGCTTGTACCTACCTGGCTGCAAAGTAGATACATGCAATTTAAGGTTTTTAAATTGAAGCAATTTACCTGGTTCCTTGATCTTCACTGGGATAATTTCTGGAGGGGGAACTGGAACTTGGAAGAAAGCAAAAGGTAAATCATTGCTGGGGGCAGTAAGTCAATTTATTAATATGATTTGTGTCCCTCTAGATCAGGGGGGGGAACTATGGCCCTTTTATGACTTGTGGACTTCAACTCCCAGAATTCCTCAGCCAGCCATGCATTCTGGGGGTTGAAGTCCACAAAGACGATAAAAGGGCCATAGATCCCCACCTCTGTCCTAGAACAATGTAATAAACTCAGACATCCCATTTTAAATATTTTAAGAGCATACCTCATACCCAGGCTCTTCCCTGTTCTCCTTCCACTCACACATCTATCAAGTGACACCCAACCACATTCTATTCATTTCCAACTGCAGCAGCTTCAGTGTTGCCCTATTATACCCGTGTTTTTATTCAATGCATTCCCTCCAAAACGTCTCCCCAAATAATATTGCTGAAGCCATCATGTAGCCACGTTCTGCTTCTTTCCTTCCTGTGCCCTAATCTCTTCAAGCCATTTAAAGTTAACAATTATCTAGAGAACATCAGTAGCCCTTACTCTTGCATCTGAAACATCTGGCTTAAAAAAGACTTTGCAGAAGTGACAGTAGCTGGCGATCACCTAGATGGGATTACACTACACATGAAATAGATCCATTCTGCCAACTCTTAAGAAGCAAAGTCTCTTTTTTAGGATGGCTCCAGGTTTGAGAGAACTTTAATAAATCATTCTCTCAAAATGATCCATGGTGGGCTTAGCTTGTGGTAGGGAAGCTGACAGCTATGAGCACATCAGGCTCCTAGGAGCAGCATTCTTAATTTCTTGCAGATATTTCAAAAATATTTATTTATATTATAGGAACCATTCCTAGATTCAGCCTCCAGACAGTCGACAAAGTACAACAACAACAACAACAAAAACACAGCTAAGGCAAGGATCTGTTTATGCTTGCCAGAATACCAGTACACAACCATCTTAAAAAGGATGTTATAGAAATCTCATCTCCAGTCCTCTGTCCAACAGATGCTGCCCCCCCCACTTTGGAAAAAAGGAAGGAAGAATCAAAAGGTTCAGACCCGTTGCAGTACTCACCAACAGGCTTGACTACATATGGCTGGCATGAAGTGCAATCAAACCCCTCATCTGCTGCCTGTTCTACTTCTTCCTCGCTGAAAAGGTTGTCACATACGGCATGCATCCACCTGAGAAACAGACAGTTAAGACAGCAGTAGCACCTGCACTCCTGTTTTTTGTGGATGCTGCTAATGTTAAATGCTAAGCGTAGGTGCTGCTCTTGCCTTAAATTTTGTCCTTCTAGGAGTTAGACTGTTCCTGCCATTATCTTTTTGAAAGTACAAGGCAAAAAGGAAAAGGGAAAGGGAAACACATATACACACTTCAAGCATCCTAGTACAATTTAAGAGAAAAGGGAGGAAGCTAAAACATTTGAACCATTACTGCCAGTCCACACACTGCCACTCACATCTTTCATTGTTCAGGTTACATCTTGCTCTGTTCTCCAAGAAAAATACTAAGTCCTCAAAGGGCAAACAGACTGTGAAGGAAATGTCCTACACCTTTCCCAGAATGACCTCGACCACTGCCAGACAGGGGAACACTATGAATGTATTAGAATTAATCTAGAATTAGGAGCCACGTCAGGACACATCATAGCATGAACCTGTGGTTTCTCCAGGAAACAAACCCTAGTATTAGGAGTTGTCCTAACCGAATCGTTAAGGGTGATGAATTTTGATCAAATGACCATGGGACCTTGTAATGGCCATAACTTTGAGGAACCGGTTATAATTAGCATATTAGTGAAGAGCTATAGCTCAATCTTCCCCTTATTGGCAATTCTCCTGGTGTGGTGGATTTCAGCTCCTATTATCCCTAAGCCAGGATGGAAATCCAATATATTTTACGGATAACAGCACTTAGATTTATATACCACTTTACAGTGCTTTACAGTCCTCTCTAAGCCGTTTTACAGAGTCAGCATATTGCCCCCAACAATATGGGTCCTCATTTTACCGACCTCAGAAATATGGAAGGCTGAGTCAACTTTGAGCCAGTCAGGATTGAACTCCTGGAGTGAGCAGTGAGTTAGCCTGCAGTACTGCATTCTAACCACTGCGCCACCACAGCCCTTATAGCATCCTTGCTCACATAAATGCCACATACTAAACTTTCTAGTGGGTATTTCCCTTCCTTCTCATTTTCATGGCTTCAATATACCCTCTCATATGTGTCACCTGCCAATGTAATAATGCCAGCAAGCATTTGTAATGAAAAAGAAATAAAGGAAAATTCTAGGCTACATTGGCATCCAACTTTTGCAAGTTGAAATGCCTATGAGTATAGCAATAAACAAACTACCCTAAAAGGATGTTCCAGGAAACAAAACAGGTGCCGGGATCCAAAAGTATTTCCATAAATTTAATACCATGATAAAATGGTAATACCAGGTGGGTCAAGGGATTGGGGCTTACCGTTCACAATGCTGACACTGGATTAAGAGGTCATCCTCAACATACTTCACGTGGCAGATGGGACAAGTGACAAGACTGGCACAAGGAGCACAGTGGGTGTAATTGCTCTGCCATTCACAGTGGAAGCCAGGTGAAACTGCTCCACACTGCACACAGCACACGCACCTGATAAAAGAGAGATGGGCAAACAATTACTGCTGCCTGTAAGATTCAACTTATTTCTCTCCTCGTCTCTAAGAACAGAAAGCCAGAAATACTTTAAAGTGACAAAAAGAGCTCAGGAATTTTCTCTTCTACATTCTCTTCAGCATTCTATAGGTGCCTGTCTTCCAATTCTATTGGATGGGAACTGCCATAATGTCCAGTCAGTACATTTCATAGTTGTGAGGTTGGGGATTTATAAGAGTTGTAATTGCAGAATATCTGGAGGGCATTACATTGTGGAAATCTGATTTTTCATTATAGTTTGTCACTACAAATTGTGCAACTATGTAAATATATCAAAATGGTTTTAAAAAAGAAGAAGAAGAATGGTCCTAGTAAATAAATAATGCATGGAGGTAATATCCTGTTTTTAGAAAATTGGAGGCATGCTACTGAAATACATATAATATAATATAATGCAATTTGAAACATCTGATTTTATGTATAGCTGAAAAGCTAGGTACATTTTCAGCTAACCTAACCAACCAGAATTCCTAATAAGATTCTTATTGAGAATTCAATATATCACCATGTGCAAGAGCAAAGATTGGGAGAAAAAAGGGTTTCATTACGATACTTAATTTCCACTTTATTTGCAGCAAAATACATCAGATGAATTTGCATAAAATGTTAAATGAAATACTATTAAAGCATGACTCAGGAAGTAATCCGAAGTATTGTTCTCGCATATTCTAAACTGCAACACGTGGATTGTGCTAAACCAACAACCCCAACAAATCCTATGATGGGTTAACATACACACAGTATGATCAGCCCTTTGGAGCTCCCTACAGAAATTTTGATCTGTCACTCACCATTTACATTTCCAGCCACCCTTGGGCACGGTGTTGAGAGGTGGATCCAGGCAATATGTGTGGTAGCTGATGTCACAATCATCGCAGAGCAGAAGGCGGGAGGGGTCAGATGCTTTGCCACACACCTCGCACACAATGCATTCCACACAACGCCAACCCTTGAGCAACATCACCTTTGTAATCTTAACACAGAAAGAGAGGCAGACATGGAGAAAAGGAGGCCTACACAGTGGAAAGATTGGTGGGTCCTGGTGGGGAGAGCTTATGGAGAGCCTGCAGTGTTGCTTTATTGGGACCCAAGGCATAGGGACTGCAGAACATCTGGCACTCCTCCCTGTCGATGGTTCTCAGCCTTGCCTGCTAATAGTGTAGGACAAATGATGTATCATCCCACGAGTAGGGAGGATGGAAACTGCAGTATAATAACAAAGGGATGGGGAGTTTGGGACCCACTGCTTGTAAATGTGTTGTGTGACTACTCTCCCATAGGGTTTACTACACTATAGACAAACATAGATAAGCTGTTGAAGTTTGCTAACTGTGCAAGGCAATAGAGAACAGGGCAAAAAAAAAAAATCACTTTATTTATATTTATTTATAAATTTAATTCGCCACCCATATTACCACAAGGTAACTCAAGGTAACTTTATCCTATAGAAATGGATTTTTTTAAAAAAAGTTATTTCCTAATCAATTCCAATGACACAATAGATTGTTCAAATCCTAGGGGTCTAATGGGACTTCCACAGGCCAGGATAAGTTGACAGGTACCCACAGTTTCCTTTAAATATATATGTATATATATACCCATCCCAATGTGGGATCCTTGGTGTTTCCTGAGCTTGGTGCCACTGATGTTACCTAAAGTGATAATGAAATGAAATAAAAACAACCAAACTCAGAGAGTCTCAAGGACCCCACAGTTCAATCCTGAGCTACAAATATTTTCTTCTTTTGGTAACCCAACCCAATCTCTCCTGTATACTATTAGTTCTCTCCAAACACACCAGTCCCCATACCCATGAGACACCAAATGATAACTACTACACCTCAGAAGTGGAATCCTATTTTTCAAAATTTCCCTCCTCTGATATCCTCCAGATTTGCTGGATTCTAATCCTCATCCTTGGTTTGCCACGTTAGTTATGGAAGAAGGGTGCTGTAGTCCACAATATATTTAGACAAACTGGCAAATCTGATTGCATTGCCTAACTAGGGATGTGTTGGGCAGCATTGGGGGGGGGGAATTTTGGGGAAGAGTAGTAGCTAAAATCAGGTCTTACCTTGCTGTTTACACAATAAGGATGGTAACACTGAGAACACTGAGAACAAGCCAGGAGATGGCCCTCTGCGCCACGGCCAAAACTACCACACACTACGCACATGTCCTATCCAGGAAAGAAGAAAAATCAGGATGAGAACTATCAGATCTCCCCAAGCCTAGGGAAGCATCTACATATCTACCCTTACTTTTCTGTTATTCTGCCTACTCTATTGATGTTAGGTATGTTATTACCACCCTTTCCCATAAACATACTGATAGTTGGCCATAAAAAGCGAATGCTAAATTGCATTCTGGCTTTTAACTGGTCAAATCATAATTTCCAAGCGTATAACATATCTCAACTGGAAAAAGTCTTTAAATGAAATCTGCCAAAAGTTTGTTTCCTAATAAAGCAGATCGCCCAAGAATGGAACACAGACACAATTATAAAGTGACAAGCTGAATATGTCTCAATAACTTTGAAGGCTATCAGATCTATGTGCAATCTACGGTAAGTTCTTATATGAAACAGACAGAGCCTCATCCTGCAAAGCAGCATCTTCCCTCTTTAAAGTAGGGAGCATATTCCAGAGCTTTGCATGGTATAAGGTTTACGTTTTTAAAAATTGCTCTTCTTTGAGCCCTCTTATGCATCCTACTCACACAAACGAAAGAAATCAATCTGGGTAGATCTTTCTTTCCACTGACGTAATTAATGCAATCAGAAACCAACCGAAGTCAGCCGACCCACCTGCATTAGCACAAACTTGTCTGTGTTGGAGAAGAGCACCACTGTGTTTTGCATTGTGTCGTCGTCGTCATCTTCCTCCTCTTTGCTTGGGGAGCTGTCAATATCGGCCAGCTTATAGAAGAGAGTGCAGAAGCACAAAATAAGGGTTGAAAGGCATTTGGAACTGGTGTGCCAAAAGTGTGGCCTGCATCCCATTTCCAGAACAGGAGGGGGCCAATTTTTTCAGGGTTGTGTTTGGTTTTTTTTTGCCCATAGTGGAGCTGATCAAAATGGGGTTTGAGGTACCCATTTTATCCCTTAAGATTCTCGTAAGATATTGCTCCCCAAAAGCATTGCATTTCAGGAATGTGGCCCTAGGCATGCTGCACAGAACCTGCTGTGGCCTTCAGCTGACAGAACTTATGCACTGTTGGGACTCCTCCCCAAGATGGCTGCTGAAGAGCGAGAGGCTTTCTTTCTCTTATTCACGATCTGCTGTGTTTGCTGCCAGAGCTGGTCCTTTGGCAGGCCTACCCCCCTGGATTTGAATGGGGGCACTTAGAAATGACCCAAGACTCAGGAAGAACTTATGCGCTGCTATTTTAGTAAGCATTCATAGCTGAGGGCACATGGGATAGGTAGTTCAGCCTGCTCATGATGCATCAGAGTCCTGTCCATACTACAGAAGAGGAGGCCGACCAACTACTCAAAACTATCTGTCTTCTTCTCTCTCAATAACAGTGCAAGATGCCTCGGTAGGATGCCCCTGTTCCCAAACCTACCCTTGAAAGAGCACAAGAGGAAGGCAATTTCAACAAGTAGAGCTTCTCCATCTCCTTACAATGCACTGCTCCAAAAGGGGAGAAATCCTATCGTAGCTAGAAGACAACCAGCCAACCGAGGAGGAATCCCCTAGAAAACCCATTTAAAATAAGGAAGGGAGATGAGAAAACTCAGACCACTGGCTCCAGTCATTGCAGGAAGGACTACAGGACCAGTCAACTGTAGGCAGATCGATAATGCTTTGCTACCTGCCTCTCTGTCTGAGCCACACAAAGAATTAAAATGGAGGCCCTTACGGCTAGTCTTTAACTTACAACCTTTCATTTGGCGATCGTTTGAAGATACAACGGCACTGAAAAAGGTGACTTATGCCCATTTTTCATACTTATACCCGTTACAGCATCCCCATGGTCATGTGACCAAAATTGGATGCTTGGCAACTGGTTCAATATTTATGATGGTTGCAGTGTCCCCGGGCTCATGCGATCATCTTTTGCAAACTTCTGACAAGCGAAGTCAGTGGGGGAAGCCAGATTCACTTACCAACTGGGTTACTAACTTAACAACTGAAGTGATTCGCTTAACAACCGTGGCAAGAAAAGTTGTAAAATGGGGCAAGCCTCACTTAACAACTGTCTCACTTAGCAACAGAAAGCTTGGGCTCAATTTTGGTTGTAAACCCGTACTTGCTCTCTATATTAGCTAATCTCCCATTTCTGGGAACCATAAGGTCTCTTAGACTGGATCCCACTCATCCCATCCGATCCCAGTCCCAAATATTGTCCTGCCTTCTAAAAGCTGCCCCTACCGCCAGTGTCTCGATGGAAGAAGTGGTGGATTTCAAACGTGATCGGCCCCGCCCTCGGCCCGTGTGAGACCCTCCCCGAGGCCGTCTCCTCCCAGGAAAACTGCTGCTGCGACCCTATGACCAAAAGAAAAAAAGGGAGGGAGAATAATGGCTGGAGATATAGGGGAGTTATAGACATCCTCTATTTCACCACCCTTCCTCCAGGACTCCCCTACATGCAGATGGGGAGGGGGGATTTCAATAGTGTATGAAGGAGACAGCAAACAACATTCAAAATTAGCTGGCCGAAGGCATCCGCTTACCTGCTTGATACGAGAGCGGGCTGGGGAGCTACGCCGTCGTCCCTTCTCACATTCACCTTTTACATCAAATAGCAGAGAATCCTCCATTTCCCCCAGAGGCAAAGAGGCTCCATCTTCCCTCTGCAGACTGACGTCTGTGGAGGTTAAGCCACCCATCTCTAGGGAAAGAGAGCCTCCGCCTTCATGATACGGGGATACTGGGAAACTGCTGGCACTGGCATCCCCCTGACTCAAGTTTGAGATCTCATTCACAATATCCGACTTCACCAGGTGGTGAGGCCTTGGGGATGGGGATGCTGGCCCTAGTTCCTCCTCTCCAACAGCCCCTCCTTCAAGTGGGATGGCAGATCCATAAGCTTCCATTGGAAGAGACGTTCTGTCCAGCAATTCCACCTCTACGGGGGAAGGAGAGCACTTGGATTCATTGGCAAAGCTGAGGTGAATTTCACTGGGTTCTGGTTCAACGGTGACATGCCCTTCGTCTAATCCCTCCTCTTCACTCAGCTGCGGGGAGAATCTCTGTTCATGTTCCATCTTGGGTGCTGCTGCCGCCTCTACCTCTTCCTCCACCTCTTCCTCCTCCTCTTCCTCCACCTCCTCCTCTTGGTTGGGCTGGATTCTATTCCTGTCAGGGCTATCAAGGCCTGAGGCTTCCACCTCTGTGTCCATGGGCTCTTCGCTGGGCTCTCCTTCTTCAACTGCTTCTGAAGAGCCACCCTGGAGCACACCAAGCGGAGGAGGACTCCTCGGAGAGGACTCTGCTTCCTGAGCCAAGAGTGCAGATGGAAGGTGACTCTCTGGGGGTTCTGGCTCTGCGGGCAGCAATTCAAAGGCAGGATGCTCTTTGGCACCAAGTGGGGACTCCTCCGGGTGAGCAGAAAACACTGGATCTGAGGGATGGATATAAGAAGAAAGATGAGAGGAAGATAAGGAACCCTGAGGAGAAAGGAGCCAAACTCATACATGGAAGAAACATACTTTATTTAGAAGATTTACATGGCCGCCCAGAATCACTTCTCAGCATATAATAAATATAAAAACAATACAAAAATATAGAAACAATAAAAAACCCAACATACAAACAATAAAAACAATAACCCCTACACCCTTGGCAACAACCATCAATCAGATAAGCCACTTGATGGGCTCCCTCCCACTCTAGATTCCCCAGGCCTGTAGTAGAATCAGATCTTCAGGGCCCTGCAAAAGAATGTCAAATTGGGGGCCAGTCTAATCTCTGCAGGGATGATGTTCCAAAGGGAGAGAACCACCATCGAGGAGAAGCTCTTCTTCTGGGTCCCGCCAGATGTACCTCCTTAGGAGATGGGACCCACAACATTCCTTGCCTTCTGGCTCTAGTGGGTCAGCTAGATGAGACCAGGAAAAAATGGTCTTTCAAATTTACCTGGTCCCAAGCCATGAAGGGCTTTAAAAGTGACAGCCAGCAACTTGAACCCCCACTAACAGAATCAAAACAAGGAACTAAATCTATCCTCACCATCTCTAAAATACTGGACTGCAAGGTAGGCTTTTTGTGTTTTAAAATTTAGCGCTATATCCAAGATATGCAACTCACCTGGTGGTACTGGGGGAGGGGGTGGTGGGGAGGGGGCTTTCTCAGGCTCTAATGCTGTTTCCACTTCCATTTGCTCCTGCCCTACAGTGGCCTCCAACTCCACACTGCAGAGTTCTAAAGGTCTGTCTGCATCTGGAACAGAAACACGCATCTTGTTTAAAAGAATTTGCACAGAGATCAAATCTAACTCCCTGTCTAGTTCTTCACAAAGCAGCACTTCAAGGTTTCTTCTGACCTACAACTCCTGGGTAAATGAATGCGGGGAGATAAAACAGGATAGTAGCAAAGTTTTCTTGCTCTAGAGTTGCTCCGTGATTTCTGAGCCTATTCACGCAACAGTTTGGCACCTAAAGCCACCAAGGCCACAAACAAAAACAATTTGCCGAGTAAGATTTCTACTGAACCTCATGTATAATTCTGGCACATGTCATTTGTTTTAGCCTAGCCAACTGCTGTAAAAAGCATGAACACAAGTTGGCTCTTCTCAGATTTAATATAGCCTACTTCCAAAAGTAGAAAGAAGGTGACTCACCAAGGGGCTGCTGGCCAGTCTCCAGTGGCACTTGTTCTTCTTGTTGCATGTTTACAGGGCTGACGTGACCTTCTAGTTGTCCCTGACTGGCCACATCAACTTCTTCTGGGGGTTGAGGGGAAATCACCTCGACGGTTGTGGGGATGCTGCTTGCTGGGGGAATATGCCTAAGGTGTTCAAAAGAAAGTATTTGAAATGAATTGTTTGAAGCTAGAAGTTGCATTCAACAGAGCTTTCTCTGTAAATATTCCTTCCAATAATAATCATATGAAGCATGCCTTTATAATCACTTCTCTTATAGCTTTAGAGGGATGGAGAGTGGTAGCCTAAGGCTACTTTGTGAATATTGTGGTAGACATAATGACTGTTTATAACACAGCCTTGTAAGCTATTGCCAAATTTTCTCTCAAAAGACACTCAGTTTGCCATCTCACCAGTGTCAATTTTTAACAACCACATATAGATTTTTTCCAGCTTGATCTGTTTCAAACCAGGGGCTTCAATACTTCCTGGTGCATCCCAGTCCAGCCATCATCACTGTAGCGGGAGTACATCCACTTTGCTATTGGTTGCTATCTTCTTCCCTTTCGTTGCATCTTTTCCAGCATTATGTACTTCTCAAGGGAGCTGCCTAATGTGTCCGAAGTATGATCTCAACAGTCATATTTGGAGGTCAAGGAAAGCAGAGATTTAGCCTCTCCCCATTCGTATTGGCGTATTATTTATCGGACAGCATTGGTGATTTGCTCTAACTTGGAGCAAAAAGTGAAATGACTAATAGCCAACAAATCTATGTCAATATGAATGGGGAATGGGAAATTCAAACTGAATTTCTGCTTTCCTTGATCTAGTAAAAATCTAACGTTTCATCTAAAAGAGTGAAGAGAAATGTTCCATTCTCCTGAAAGCCCTCCAGTCTAAAATGAAAACGTGAACTTATGTTCGATGTCTTTTGTACTCATAAAGCATAGGAAATTCAGTTACAATATGGGAACTCCTATAGCCAATGGAAGAAGAGCTTTAAGCTTCCACCAGGGGGAGATACTTTCTCAATTTTAATAGTTGTCCAGGTGAAAAAACAAACCTATATAAACTGAAAACATGTCAAAACATAACTTCTGCCAGAAGCATCTGGATGCCCAGCTCCATATGGGCCAAAGGAACCATTATCAAAAGGTTCAGTGTTCCATCACTGCTTACACAGAAGGGTAAAAGATATCCCTTTACAGGATGTTCAAAGAGCAGACACCTAATCAACCTTGGCAAAATTGGAGTGCATCTCTCTCAGCTGCACAAATAATGGCAATTCTCTCCACATTAAGCATAGGTTTTTATAATATTTAATGAAATATTTGTGGACAAAGCACATGCCAGGTTGTCTTTTCATAGGTAGTTGATGCCACAACATCAGCTGCAAACCCACAGTGACTGACCATGAATATTGAACTGTATGATGCAACAGTGAACATGGATCTGAAAATGTAATGTATCGAAGACCAAAGTAGGTATATCTGACAGGGAAAATAGAGCGAATGATTACAAGTTAAAAAAATACACTGTGAAAAGCAAAAACGGGTAGAACGTTTCTTAAAAATGTGAGTTACCTTAAGATGTGTAAATACCGCTAGAAAGTAGTGGAAATCATATGGTATGTTGTGAAGAATGAATGTTTGTCAAAAGAACTAAAAACAGTTGGGTATAAAAGTGTGTGTGCCTGTGCCCTCTGTTGTACAGTGAGGAAAACATAAAAGTACGTTGAATGTTCCAGTAGTAGGAATAAAGTACTTAAGTATGGGTGGTAAAACAGGGCAAGAGATAAGGTCAAAAAAAAGGTGGTTAAGAGAATACAGATTAAATATAAAAATCAAATTAAGATACAGGTAGTCCTCAACTTAA